ACCGAGGTGGAGTGTGCGAACCCACACGCGATTATTGATTGGAAGCCGTCTGTGATTGAACCCAAATGTGATTGATCTGCATCGCTTTGATCCCCCGTGTCCTCTGAATTGCTACAGCGCGCAATTCTTGAGGCTATCCCCGGTGTCCTCTGAATGGCTACAGAGTCCTCTCTGGGGCTAGTTCAAGGAAAGTCAGTGTTGCGCGCAGCTCCTTCCCTTTTCCGACTTGAGGCTGCTGCGCAATTTTGGGCGCGGTTCGAGTCTGTAGCGGGCCTGGGCACCGGCGAAGGACCAGGCCTAGGGCCTTTGCAAAAATTGCCAACTCTTCCACATCTGGAAGGTGGGAGAACAGTTGACGCGCCACAAATGCCTGATGCTGACAATGTTTAGCAACTTGGGCCACATAGGACTTTGTACCTTTGTACCCGGGTCACAAATTGGCCACAAAGGAATGCCACATTTTGACAAACAATTAAACAGGGATCCTTGCATTATACACCTGAACATTGCCTTGCAAGTAAATGGTGGTTTCCCCTTATTTTGGTGGAAAAAGCCATGTTTCAAATGGGCAAAATGTATCTTTTAAGGAGCCCTGTTAAAAGTACGATCTAATTCTATCCTCAGGCAGTTGTCTAGCCCGTGGCTTGTGCCCGCAACAAGATTGGCTTGGCTGCTTGCCAGCTCTTCAAATGGATGTGGGTCAAAAAGATGTACCCAAAATGGCTTGCCCTGGTTTTTCTGGAAACATGGACTGAAATCTGCGGTCCTGTCGGGGCCCATGCCCAAATGTTGCGACCGGCCGCCGCACCTCTATCTCCGAGCCCTTGTTCCTGGAAAAGTTGGTGGCCTGGCGGTTTAGCCCCCCATGTCTTCCTACAAGGCAGGGTGGGGCAAAATATGGTGTAACCACCACCTTCACAAGAAATCATCATCATACCCCATGGTTTAAACATGTTTGTTATAAACCAATGGGTAGCCCCACCCTACTAAAAAGTCGTAGACCCGGAAGCATCGTCAGTGGCTCAGTGTGGGCATTGCTCAAAATGAGGGTTCTGTCAACAATGAGGTCTTTGCATGTTCACCAAAAGCACTGCGAGGCTGTCTCGCAAGGTGTTGGGGAGTGAAACATAAAGGCACCCATCGAACCAAGGAGTGGAGACGGCACCTTCTTGGGGGCACCGTTTTCCTAAGTCTTGCTGCCGCAAACTTATGATACGGCCCAACAGTTTGCTCCCAGGTACAGCGGGCTTTTACCATCCTCAACAACTCTTAGGCCCCGACTTGCTCTTCTTAGGTGAATCTAGGGGCCCGTGGTTGGTTTCGTTTGTTGCCTGTTTCTGGGTTGCCTACTTCGTCAGACCATAGAAGTTTTCAGGTGCGGTCCCCTCTGCCCCTTGTGTCGGCGCATTGGCCCATGCGCAACTCACCACTTTCACAAGCTCGCTGAAATCACCTAGAGACCCAAACCTTGCGGGGCCCGTCTTGACAAGCCCCCAATATCGATCTGGCATGAGATCGGCTATATTCTCGGAACGCGTGGCACAAAGCTACGCACAGCAACAGCGAGGATGATACGCAACGATGGTTTCCACGCGCAAAAGGCAAGAAAGACACTATCCGTGAAAATGGGCTCATGCTGTACGCGTTGCCTCATGTTTCGACCACATATCCACAAAAGAAACCCCTCCTTCGCCATAACCCCCTGACTTTTCTGCTGAACAGCCACGGAACCATCAAATCTCCAATCAGGATGGTCATAGGCGAAACTCCTGGTCTCTAAATGCGTGGTTTCAGGTTTCACAACCATGCTCTGTACATTTGTGTGTGTCGACCGAGCATGCCCCAAGCCTGGACTTCCCCGCGAATCAAGTCTCCACGCAACAGGTGGAAGACTGGTTGAAATGGCATCCCCTGGTGAATTTATGGGGGTAGGAACTGTCCATAGCAAAGAACTGAACATCGGCCAAGGAGTGTACAAAATGAGGGTTGCCTACAATAAGTCTCCCCAAATTCGAGGGGCCTTCTGCTGAGTCACTACAGCATGCTGTACCTAGTTGGATCGATGTGAAAGGTTCCAAATGGCCTAGTCCCATGAGTGCCAACCATTCATGCCTACCAAAATGACATATCGACAGGCCAAACAACAGGTCTACAAAATGGGCTTTCCATCTGACCTGAGGCATGACGCCCTACTCGCGCTGACAAAAAAGCATCTATAGGAAGGTCAAAGGGGGATGTTTTGGCAGTCTTGGCAATGACTCATCTAAACTCAGCACCAAAGGCGGCCACAACAGGCAGCCTCAGTTGAGTCTAGTCGCAAACTTAGGCAAACGGTCCCCTAGACCCAAGGTCAAAAGACAGGCAGGCTGCTGGGTTTTCGAACACTGGCACGGCCCCAAGTTCGCCAAACTCTTTCTCCCCACTCACCCCCCACAACCGCCCCATCCTCGCTGAGGCGTGGCGCAAGACCTGCAAGTCGGGCAAGGAAGCGGGCTCACGTTCTGTCCATCTTGTCTCTTTTTGCGCGCCATACTCCTCATCTCAGCCGCGAGCCAGGCACTTCACATTATGGAAACACCAACAATTCGAACTCGGAAAAGTCCAAGTTGGGGCACGCCGCAAGTGAAAATCCAGGTTGCACTTGGTGCGGCCTTGTCGCCCAAACTGCCATTTGCTTACATCACATTTGGTCCAACTACAGGCGATTCACTCCATGTGACCCTGGCCTAGCACGCCTGTATCACAGGCACGGCACAGGTGTTGCGCAGGCTCAGGTTTGCTTTCGGCGTTTGCTGAACGCCATATCATTCTATTGACTGTGGATCATGGTCAATATGAACCGGTGCTCAATTCTTCGTGACCTCAGGTACCAGTTTGGACCATCCATGTCAGCGATGCCTGGACAACCGCGAGTGCCATCAGAATTGAGCCACGAGCAGTATCATTGTGTGCCCCAATAACATTGGATGTTGGTCGGAAACCTCCACTGTCTGGTGGTAACTGGATGAGTGAACCCCAAATCATTACCAAGAATTACGCCACAAACAATACTCATCGCGTCATTGTGCGCCCGAATCACATTGGATGCTGGTCAGTAACTTCGGTTTCCTAGTGACTGTGGATCATGGTCAATGAACTGGTGCTCAATTACCAGTTTGGACCGTCCATGTCAGCGATCCCTGAACACCCGCGAGGACCAACAGAATTGAGTTGCGAATCATTGCGTGCCCCCAATAACATTGTCAGTACCCTCCGTTTCCTGGTGGTAACTTGGTGAGTGAACTCCATATAATTCTCTTGACTGTGGATAGTGGATAATGGTCAATATGGACTGGTGCTCAATTCTTCGTGAAGTCAGGTACAGCGATTAGGACAATCCATATCAGTAAATTTTTGATAACCGCGCGCGCCAGCAGAATAGAGCCACGAACAATATTCTTTGTGTACCCCAATAACATTGGATGTTGGCCTCCGTTTCCTAGGCCTAGTGGTAGTTTGGTGAGTGAACCCCATATGATTCCATTGACTCTGGATCATGGTCAATATGAACCGATGCTCAATTCTTCGTGACCTCCGGTACCAGTTTGGACCATCCATATCAGCGAACCCTTGACAACCGCGAGCGCCATCAGAATTGAGCCACAAACAATATTCAGTCACGTTTCAGACGCTTCAAACGCAGACTCTGATCAAAAGCGTCACAGGCCAACACGTGGGTGTGTGTGTGTGTTGATTGAGGCTATCCTTTCCACCTTGTTGTTTTTTTCAATCCCCACCAACACCCGGTCTCTTTTTTTCAGGGAAACCAAAGGAACCCATCTCTCATTTTGCGAAACACAGATGACGTCCCTTCCGCGCCTGTCAGCCGTGACGCGCCTGGGGCGCTCCCTCTGGCGTCGAATGTCCTGACCGACCCCGATGGTTGGTGTCCCTTGAGTTTGCCACTAAAGGACGCACTCGTCATGGGGGCTGGGGGGGAGGGAGGGGGAGGGGGAGGGAGCCCTTAATAAGGCCTTATTTAGGGCTTATTTGGGCTCCCCCCTCCCTCCCCCCCAAGCCCCCATGAACTCAACAAAAGTGCCATGAGAAGAATCCTTGGCCTGGCTATTGAGGATCCCTACCAGCTGGATGACCATCCCTGTTCTCAAGGAATCGTTGGACCAGTCATATTCCAAGGCTTGTGGAAGCTGGCACTGTCCAGCTTCCCGCAAAAATCAATTCCAGGTACAGGGCAAAGCAGCACAAATGGGCATCATTTGCCCATTAAAGGCGGAATCCCCCTGCCCAACGGCTTCCACACACAAAGCAAGTCTGGAAATCCGCGACTCACCGGCGTGTGGGGCCTAAATGCAATCACCGCATGTAACAGCAGCTGACGAAAAGCAAAGATTCACTTCCAGCGAACAATCAAGGTCCCCGCTCGCTCTGGCAATCGGAACTCCACTCAGCCACAGCCTACAGAACTACCCCAAATGCTATGCGTGCAAAAGCCCATCTGCCCGTTAGACCGCACGGCTGACTGTCCATATCAAGATCAACTTGCACAAATCCTTCCAGCTGCAGAAAACCTGTGCACATGCCTCTCGCAAATGGCTCTATGTGAATAATACTTTATACTTCTGAAAACAAAGGCAGTTGCTCACATCAAGACTGGGCCACCTGTCCAATGAAATAATTGGCAGGTGTCCCCGGACCGAAATACTGGAGAGTGGTTTTGGGACTTTGGGACACATCGAAGACAGGCGCTTTGCCTGGGCCGAAATCAAGCACAAGTCTGCCTACGCCCCCCGTCACGTGCGCTCAGATAGTCAGGCATGAACCAACCATAGAAGTTCCAGAAGCACTGCTTAAACTTGGTTGACGTTGGGTTTGGGGAGCAAAAAAACTCAAATTTTAGCAGTTAAGTGGAAGGGGATTTCCACCACGAAAACCGCAATAAGCAAACATGTTTCTAGTGTTTCCCAACAACAAGCATGTAAAGCGAGCGGTTCATGACATCTTCAAGGTCGATCTTGCTGTGGTCCGAAGGTTCCGGTCAAAGCGAATCCTCTCGTTTCAAGCAGACCACGCGGCTCCAAGCCAAGCCATACATGTTTCCACAAAAACAAAACAAAATCCGAGTAACACTCCAGAAGCCCCGGCGCTTCAGCCCGATCGCTGAAGCGAGTGATCCGGAGAAGACGTGGAGAAGACCTCCGTCTTGATCTTCCAGGCCCGCGGCCCTCCTCGTTTTTGCGGGGCTCGGGGCTGGGGGTGTCGGCATGTGATGTGGATGGTTGCGAAATCGAGGGCATAGAGTCTCCATGACCCAAGAATGGTTCCATGATTCCACCCCAAAATAATGGGGTAATGACCCCCAGTTTTGGGGTCAGAAGGAGACTCCAGGTACTGTGGATGGTGGCGAAATCCATTTCGCATCACCTAAGAAACCCTGGTTTATGATTACTCCCCTCTAAATACCAAAGAATGGTCTCTAAAGGGTTTCGTACAGTGGTGCGAATTGGATTTCGTCCATCCACAGTAGGTGCGAGTAAAATTGATCAACCTCCTGGAGCCACAAGCATGAACTTTGGTTCGGGACCCTTTGGGGAACATCAAACTGTGGTGAAGATAAACAGGTCCACTAACCACTTTTCGGAGGTGGTTCCTCGCTCAAGACCACAGCGATATGGAATCATCTTGCAAATTCCCGACTTTCCTTCGTCACACCCTGTGGATGCATGTCTTTTGCCTCACAGTTCCCTTCCAGGACCATGACCCTTCGAGTGGGCCTTTTGAGCCGGAAACGTCGAGGTCCGCATTTTTTCGGCGCTGCCGTTTTCTGATCTGGCTGTGGGTCAAAAATAGGTATCCAAAATGGAACCCTGGCAAATGGAACCACCTTGGTGGTTTAATTTTCTGTCACCTCTACCCTGTACAAAAAACTCGCAGCGCTTGAGCTGCCCGAAAGCTGCCAGTGAGCCAAGGCAAAGGTCCGGGTCGCGTGGTTTATTCATGGTGAAACCAGCCGTGGCCAACTTACTGGCGCCTACAAAACGAAGTCCTGAAGAAGCAAAGCACGAGCAGCAGCAGCGCCAGAGCATAGACGGGACGCAGATCATAAGGAATGCGCTCCAGAAAGACAAACATTAAAAGTGTGCGAGCAGCGACTGGAAGAGGTAGGTTGATAACTGTCAGCAGCAGTGCAGCCTTCATATCGGACATCATCCGCGAGAGCCGCTGGCTAATGTGGCCAAAGGCAGTGGTATAAACAATTCGAAGGACAAGGGCATCGATGCTGAAATCCACCAAACAAAAGGAAAAGGCGCAAAGAGCCTTCCAGAAATGCTGCAGCGCGCTCCAGTCGGCCTGGGGATACTCCAAATGTAGATCTCGGACCATGGTGAAGGCGTCGCAAAGCCTTGGGGCTGATGAAACCAACGCCATATGGATCATCATCCGCGCAGGAAAGATCGCACTGTCTGCACCTCCCAAAAGGTTTAATGGCTGTGGGTGAAAATTAAGTACTCAAAATGGAACCCGGGCAAATAGAACCAAAGACCAAATCCTGCGGTCCCCTGGTGGTTTAATTTTGACCCATACCCAAATAAACGAGATGTGCTTTTTGACGCCCTACGCTTAGCATGTTGGAGCATGTCCACCGAACCATGCTTCACTTCACAGCCCGCCTGCCAGTACCCTCGGACGTAGCCTTGTATGCACCATCCGGTCGAATCTCTTCAAATGCTCCTCCGCAAACGCGTAAAAAGTACTTAGCAAATCAGGGGCCCGGAACTTCGCAGCGCACACAGAACGACACCCTAAAATCTTCAGGCAGATTTTTCGGGGTTTTGATCCATCCGTCCATCCGCAATCCTCAGCCCTGTCCTCTTTCGTGTCTGTGTCCGCTCCATACCAAAGCCGCACCGCTTCATAGACGAGATTCCGATCGCAGGGCAAAGCCTCCCCTGTGTCTGGATGCCGATGATCATTGGCGCAGCAAAAGCACTCGGAGCCTTCCAGGCTGAAGTCTTTGAGCTGCCCGTCCACCGTAGAAATGTCTCGGAACAATACCACGGTGCTGTAAAACAAGAAGGGCATGGTAGCAAAGACGATGCAGACACCCGGCAGAACACGGAAGACCACAAGGCCCTTCCAGCCCGCTCCCACTTCAAGGTCAGCAAGGCCCATGGACACTGCCAGGGTGGCAACATCCAGCTGCATCTGGACTTTGATCATGCACATATAGATGGTCGGCAAGATCACCTGAGGCTCTGACACTCAGCGGAGAACACAAACGTCTGTGTGTGTGTGTGACAACCTGACGGTCAGGTCTTCTCGAAAGACCTGGCAAAACCCATAGTTCGCTGAAAATCTCACCACCTTTCACCACCAGGGCCAAAAGAAAGGCACGCATATACGCCATCTCGGCATAAGCGGAGAAACCTCCGATCCGTGCGTTCGACCTTGGCCAATTTTTGGAGGAGGTTGTTGCCAGACGCCCCCGGCGGGGTGCCTCATCGATTGTCAGCTAAGGTTACCCTTCCACCTGTGGGAGGGTACCGGGAAGAACTTGTCCGCGAACCCCCGGTGAGGTGCTATGTTAGTGGAAGGAAGGTGATATGCATATTGTAGAGTAAACACAGTCCATACTGTGGACGGACGAAATCCTGCACCACTTGGAAACCATGTGAAACCATTGTTCATTGGTATTTACAGGGGAATCAGACCATTCCAGGGTTTTTTAGATGGTGCAAAATGGATTTCGCAACCATCCACAGTATGATACAGAACAGCATAGTCAAGCCACCACCAGCGCCATGCTCACGGGAAAGAAGGTCAAAGACTTGCTCTCGGAGGAATCTCGGAGGAATGTGGCCAGCTCGTAGCCACACCAAAGACGGGTCAAATACCTGCAAAGTGTGTGTGTGTGTATATATTCTTGCAAATGCGAGCCAAGGCGCGTCAGCTCAGTTGCTCCAAAAGATGGCAAGGATCCTTTTGGTGTGCCTCATAAAACAAAGACTTCCCGAACTGACGATCTTTTGCTGCTCTGCTCGAAACTTTCAGGTGTTGCCAAGCTGTGACAAGGCTCTCTAGAGTTTAGCCAGCTGAGCAAGAATTCCTTGAGGACGTTGTTGCCATCCAACTTTGTTGGGTTCTACACTCAGTAACTCGTCCAGATCATGCACCACTGCCCCCGAAACGCCCCACCTGCGCCCCTTCCCCCGGTCTGACCGGGACTTGCTGTCCAACGCGCCTGCGAGACCAGAGGATGGTCAAGTGGTCGGATCGACCCAAGAAAGCCGCCAGGCCCAAGATCCCTCGTTGCTTCAGCTCTGCATCCTTGGCTGGAACTAGCACCCCAGCAAAAAACACTATATTTTTGCCTGGGACCCAAAAAAAACAGGGAAAAGAAGAGAAGAAGAAAAAAAGCGGAACTAAGTCTGGGGAAGCATCATGCTGCGCGATGCAGAGCTTATCCAGGAAGACCAGCAAGGGTCTCTGCGCCAGGCTGCGAATCCGCTGCCAGAAGAAGAAGAAAAAGGTATGGACTAGCCAGGGAAGCCTCAGCTTGCAACCAAAATCCGCAAAAGCAAGGACCTTTCTCACCACGGTCCATGAGCAGTTTGGGTGTTGACTTTCAGATGCTTGCAGCAAGGTTCTTTGAAATACATTTTTTTCCACCCATTCATCCTGGAGTGTTTTCATTTGTCCGATGCCCACCTGGATACCGTGATACTGGACCCTTGGCCCCTGATTCTCTAACCACTGGTGTCCATGCATGTTTTCCTTCAGCTGCCGGAGGTCCTCCGACTCGGCGGGAAAGAAGTCTGAACCCAAAACCCTCGGTTCAACTATCCGGTCGGGAGCAGGACCTGGTCCAAAGAGGGTGGAACATGGTGGTTATTGCAATCAAGGTCATATTGGGCAAGCAGCTTCAGATACAATGATTATTATGAGAAGCAAGGAATTGAACGGTAATGTACCAGAAACTACCTACAGAACCATTTCACGGGGTGGTTCTTTGACCATAATTCTAGTTGAATCATTCTCCCAGACTGCCACCGATGAATCGGTGTCACACGCCCAGTGCAACCTCTTAGTCGATTCGTCCACCCAAGTCATCCAACTGGATGTGGAGCTTGATCAATATTCCATTTCGGGCCCCCAGTTTTGACCATGGGTAACTTTTCCCACATGGCTGTGGGGCAGCCAAAATAGAACCCTGGTAAATGGAAACATAGACTAAAACCTGCGGTGAATATCCGGGCGGTCTTATTTGGACCCATACCCACATGGGAAAGATCTCATCATTTTCCTTTCCTTTTTGTTGCCCCATGGTCATCAGGAACGTTTGATCAACCCCCACGCGCGCAGCTGTTGCCAAACCTTCGCAGGCTTCAGCAGCATCCTCGAACATCAGCAGGAGTGTTTTCTTTCGTCATAGCGGCAGCGCCGGCGGCCTCCCTAGGGGTTTGTGGAGAAAACCCGTGAAGTGTTTCTGGGTCTTCTGGGTTTTCGGGGGTGGCTCGGGGGATGCAAAACCTCTGGGAGTGGCAACCGCGTCGTCTTCGTGCCACATAGCATCACTCGACACGATTTGAGCAGGGCAACACAAATGGCCATGGGTCAAAATCCAAATCGTACCCGCAGTGAACATCCCCATCCCCACTAAAATAGCTTCTAAAAATGGGTGGTGCACCGAAAACCCCAAAATGGGATCCCAAAACGGCTTTGAACTATGGTCATATGGCACAAGTGAACAGATTGCGCCAAAGCGACATGACTTTACCTGACGTGGGCCTGGCTCTGGGCCGTTTCTCCCATGCTGAAAACCACAGCATCAAGCAGCGTCGGGACCGTGGTCCAAGTATCTTCGAGCTACTCGTGCGCCAGTCGTGAACCATCCGAGACGATGCAGAAGAGATCGGTCCTACCTGGACTTCTTGCAAAGTAGCAGTCGAGGGGGATGACAATTCCACTTTGAAAGCACAGAAAGACATGTTCTTGCGCAAGGCTTCATGCTTGGATGCTTGTGTTGTTCTCTCGTTGCAATGGCTGCTGGGGCATGTAGTTGTTGTTTCTCCTAAATACGAATCGGGCACCTATAATTGCTCTGGGTTGCTGTCAGTTTGCCAGGTCCAAAGACACTCGCGTGGGTTACGAAGAGCCTCCAACGTCGGAGCGGCAAAGATCCCTGCGAAGGGAGTATAGCAAGTGGCTCCCGTATTTGGGGGGGCGGGAGGGAATTTCGCCCCATAGCCTTTTGCTCGGTTTGGGAACATCATTGCAGGCTGGTAACAGGCTGGTAGTCAATCTATGTACTCGTCCTTCGTCTTCTCCCAGCAATGCGCCGCTTTCCCGGCACAGGCCCACAATGGCGCAGCAAATCAGCATGGCCAGGGTGGCAATACCATGATTGAAGAGGATCCTCACTCTCCAAAGCATGAAATGGCTGTGGGTCAAAATTAAACCACCAGGGGCCCGCAGGTTGTAGTCCAAGTTTCCATCTACCAGGGTTCCAGTTTGGGTACATATTTTTGACCCACAACCAAATGACCAAAAACACTAGTTGTGAAATCCAAAGCTCGCCATGTCTTGTTCTTCCCCCAAGCCCGGTCCAAATTTGCCCATGCCAAGGATCAACAAGGACCAGAATTTGGCCCACCGCGAGGTCTTCCAGTCGTGGCTGAGGAAATGATGGTAGCGCTGCGTTTGGAAACTCAAGCTGTACTCCTTGCTTTGCACCTATCATAGAAACCAGCCGGCAGGAATTTCTACATTGCCCGAATACCCACCAAAAACAAGAATTCTCTGTAGAACTTCCTGTAGCGGGCGCCTTTGCGCGGGAATGTTCACACAAAAAAAAAGGATGTTTTCGATCCAGAGGCGTGGGTGTGCCTCGTGTTAACACAAAATGGTTGTTTTGGCTTTTGGCTTCCCTTTTCAACATATGTTTTCCCCATTGCATGCATTTGCCAAAAAAAAAAAAACGCGCTCCGTTTGGAACCGCGCGAACCGAACTCCGCCTCGTACATGCTCTCCGTCGAGGCTTGAGTCCAATGTTTTCCAAAGCCGCTCAGGGACTCGCTGAGCGTCACCGCTCGAAACAAGGAGTCCTTGCAGGACTTGACCCCTCCCTTAAAAACGGAAGTGGGTGTTTATCAACAAAGTCCCCTTCAATGGTGGCAATTGACTGGTGGTGTCCATTGAAGCTGCCACTTCTGGAGGTTCCGAAAAGAGAAATGGCGAAAATCCTCTCTTATGTTTGACAAAAGCAAAGATCATGTAACGTCTTAGTGTCAGCAACTCCTGGGAAACTGTAAGAGCTTTTGGAGATTCCACCCCCAAACCCCAAGACCCCCAATATTCAAAGCATCTCGACTCTATGAAAAAACGCTGAAGTATGGACGGCACCGTCTCTGCGGACAGTCACCGCTGTCGTGCACGGACTCCAATCCCAAGGAACTGTGCGAGGTCTCAACAAAAAAATCGCTCGCGGGTGGAAAAAGAAAACACCCGGGCTCCAAACAGTCCAAGAGCCTGGCAGAAGACTACGTTGACCCTCCGGATCCAGACCCAACACATCGGGAGACGGAGCCTGAGGCTCCGTCTCATCTCATGGAGAGCTCCAAGGAGTGTCTGTTCGTCTATGCCCGTGGCTCAAAAAAGGTAACACAATGGCAACTGGGCAAATGGAACCAAAGACGAAAACCAGCGGTTTGCCCGAGTTCTACTTTAATTGTTGAGCCACACCAAATATGGCTATGATTTTTAATCCAGGACCCTTTGGTGGACATCATTTAGATGGGGATTCATGAGGTGGTTCAAAAAAAAAAAATGGCCATATAAACAATGAAGTTCAGAACCTCTGCCACTCGTCTTTCATCCCCCTCCTCCAGCTCCGTCACCAGCTCCCGCGTCGTCATCACCGTGGCCTCGGACACGAAGCGGCTCTCCGCTTTTGGCTGCGTGGCCTCCGACGTCGGCACACAACACGTCGCCACTTTGGGGAGGCGTTCGTCCGGCAGGGACCAGGTCTCCGGATCCGACATCGGTTCGTGCGCCAATGGCTTAAAAACGTTGGGCCTGGTTGAATCTTAAGTCGAGTCGACTGCAAGCAAATGAGCTTTGGCGATCTCCCTTCTGTGGCAACGCCTGCTTTGCGCCAACTGGGCGTGCGTGTTGGTCCTGCTTGGTCTGTCCCGAGCGTGAAAACGCGTCTTGAGGTGGAGTCGGCCCAGTGCACAAGCGTTGAAAGGTAAAGCATCAAGATCATCAATCCGAAGTGGTAGATCCTGTCCTATGTTTCTCAACTAAATCAAACTGTCCTGGAAACAACATGTTTCTCAACTAAATCTATCTGTCCTGGAAACAACATGTTTCTCAACTTTGAGCTAGGGCAGTTATTTGCTACATGATTCAACTAGTCGGGTGTTTCCACCTCCTTCTCCATGTTTGCTCTCCTTTGAACTCATGAAAACCTCTTTTTTCCCGCAGACCGCATGGTTTGTTGGTGATATCTCAACAAGATGGATTGGAGAGATATGTAACCTGTAACATAAGCTCTTGTATCACTCTCTAAACCAACAATGTACACATGATTTCCCCAGACAAGAATTCCACGAAGAGAAATAGGTGACATCACACCGATCATTGATTCCTTAGCAAAGAGTATTGAGTGAAAAATCCCAGAAATCATTATGGAAATGACCCTAAATGCTGGAGTTATTAAGTTGTAAAACTATGATGTCCAACAAACCCAAAAAATGTTGATGGAATATAGGATCTCCTCCAAATATTGAGGATCGCCCAGCGTTAAAAGAAGTGGACCAAACAAGACAGAGCATGTTAATACAAACATGAAAGCAGTAATCAAGAAAGGCAAAGGAAAACAATGGGTAGTCTTTGATATAAGATAACAATATCTCATTTAGAATTGTTGTCCAAAGTTAAAAGATGAAACAAATGAAGATATACCAGAGACTAATAATCCTAATATAAGGTGTCCTGTACTTGAAGATAACAAATTCATAAAAGAAGTGGGACTGCTTGATATAATGTCCATCCTGGACCACCTGAAAATTATCAGATTGAAGAAAGGATTCGGAAAATATGTGAAAGCAAAAGAATTATGATAGAACAATTTTTGACTCTAGGATATACCACGTCTGGAGATCAGTGAAAGATAGGAAGGAAATATGTTCCAAGTCCTCCAAACAAAACAGGCATTGCTAAAAAGAAGATCATAATAAGATTATATGCAGGACACATCCCTGATGGAACGGGCCACACACTGAAGGCAGGCAAAACCTGCGCCCGAAATCAAGTCTCCCCAGCCCAGGCATGTGCACTCGTTTCAAAGAGACTGAACCCACCACAGAAGTCCGGCAACAAACACACAGAGCAACCTGGCGACTTGTGGATGTCTGCTGAAGGTGGTAACCCACTCCGTTGCCTTTCAAACATTCAAAAATGCCTTCACCCGAGCCCATCCCCTCCATCCGGGCCACTCATCTCCGGAAGGGCAGTCTCGACCGGGCGTCACATGTTCTTTGATTCAGGATCACCTCCTTCTCACCAAAATGGTCCGCCCCCAGAGACAAAAACTAGACAAACAAGACCAGACCTGCAGCAGACAACGAGAAAAAAAAGAAAGAAAGAAAAACAAGAGGCGGGGAGAAGAAAAAAAAAAAAAAGGGACAACCAAACCAAACAAAACTGAATGCCCACCAAAGCAGAGACCTGCAAAACCACACCTGATGGGGATCCTGCGACAGGCCAGATCTCGGCAGCCAGCAGACGGCGCAGACGCCGCAGACGCGCTCCGCCTCTGCCATGAGTGGGCGAGAACAGGTTCAAGTAAGGACAAAATGCCAACAATGCCGCATGATCTGCCTATAAAGGTTGACACAAACTGTGCCCAAGCAAAAAAGGTATATTTGATTGACACCTCTATTGCCAGAATTGAGAAAGGACTTCTTGAGTCGTTGTCAAAAGACTCCCGTGGGCATCTCTTGGGCTCCTTTGACAATCGCCAAAAATGCCAAAAACGTGATGGAAGCAAAGGTCGGCAAAAACAAAATCCGCCTATAAAGGGGTGAAATTGACGCCTCTATTGACACCTCTTCTGTCAATCAACTTCCCAACACGGGAAATAGAACACAAGAACTACAATCCAATCTCACCTATGCCACCTTTTCGCAGATTCATCCAAATGACATCTCGTCCCAGAGAGCAAAGGTCTTCGTTCCACACCGGTACGGGGGCACATCTTTACTGCTTCGCCACTGGCTGCACCCTCTCCCGCTTGGTTCATCTCCACGCCGCTTAAGGCAAAGATGTTGGGCAGACTGCTTAAGGAGACCGGCTTTGTGTCCATACCCTCCGCCAAAAGAAAAAAGAAGCAGAACATTCCAAGAGTGGCGGGAAGGGATGAATCAAACCCATGAATAGGGAGGTGTCCCCAAAAAAGTGTGTGATGGGGTGCCAAGACTGACAGCGCTGTCGCAACCGGCATACCTGCTCCTGCCTTTCGTTTTGCCCCGAGCTCGGTGAGACCATCACAATGTGGTCTTTGCGCAAACCGCAAACCAAGGCATTGCCGCCACAGTATTTGAGATTCATTGGAGCTCGCACTCGTGAGACACATATGGCTGTGGGTCAAAAATAGGTGCCCAAGATGGCACCCTACATGGAAACATGGACCAAACCTGCGGTCCCTGGTGGTTTACTTTTGACCCATCACATGAAAACCCATCAGCTTTCCCTGGCCTGCCCAAGCTGTCAAGTCTTTCGCGGCTTTGCCCAGCGCCCCAGCTTTCATGGGCGCTGTGCTCCCATGCAAAGCGGGTACTGCCGCTGCGGCTTGCCGTCTCAGAAGGCTCTTCGCACGTATCCGTTCGCCAAGGCCACCAAATCTTCCGCCTTCTCCAGGCCTCCGTCCAAGGCCTCCATGACATACTCCGGCGCGTCGACCTCCTTCGCCAGGTCGGCGGCGCGGCGCAACCTGGGGAGGCGAGAGATTTACGCGAAAGCGCCAAAGGGAAAAAAAAAAAACGAGCCTCGGGTTGAAAGGAAACAAAAGGAGAACCGGCGCGACTTGGAGTCCACATCCTTGCGCCACCCAACAAAAACCACTGGAACGGGGGGAGAAAAAAACGACGCCCAGCCCAAACCCAGAAAAAACGAAGCCATGAATACACAACCTTTCCTGGAGCCCTTCCCCGCCTGGAGTTCTGCAGGTTGACATCCGCTCCAGCAACCAGGAGCGCAGCGGCGGCCTCAAAGTTTCCACAAAGAATCGCCACCATCAGCGGCGTGGCCCCAAAGTGGTGGTAGCCCAAAGTGCGCAGCAGCGTGGAATTCCTGGGCAGCAGATCTAGAAAAACTTTATGAAACAAGCAGCCATCCCATGTTAGCGTTGGTCTGGAACCTGGGTGCAGATCTAGAAAACTGATGAGAAACAAGCATGTTGCTTTGGAACACTTGCGGGTCCCAGGTTGGTTTGCAACAAAAACACGTTGCACAAACCCTTTTGCCTTCTTTGTGGGGAAACTGAAACTGAAAAGAATATGAGCTATGTGCAACCCTGGTTCGTCTTTGTATGCTGCCAGCCCTTCACTCGGAAGAGTATACCAAGGGGGCTCAGCAATGAAGGAGTAAACTGCTCGTTGATGTCAGCCCGGGCTTCAAGCAGTCTGATCACAACTCTCGCAGATCCTCCATGAAACATGACTGCCCAAAGAATGGAGCCAGACAAATCCAAGTCATCGGCTTGGCCCAGCAAGACTTGCAGGGCGCCCAGGGATCCCACAGAAGCGGCATGTTGCAGCGCAGTCTGGCCAAACGAGTTCGCGGCACGCGGATCGGCGCGAGCCTTGCAGAGCATGGCAACACCTTCCGGGTTATCCCGATACGCCGCCAGGACAACTGGTGGAGCAAGGCCTCCGGCCCTGGAGTTGACATCAGCTTTGGCTGCAAGGAGGACCGCCATGCTGCGGTTGTTCTTGAAGTAGCCACAAAGGCCCAACAAGGTCGTGTTCTTCGGAACCTGGCCCAAGGCCCCATGCACCTTGTCGTTGGGATCTCCACGCTTCTCGAGCAAAGCCTTGACGATGATTGGGTCGCCACGCACGGCCGCATAGCAAAGCGCGGACCATCCTGCGCGATCGCGGTCCAACGCAGTTGTGAAGCCGTTCTGATAAAGAAAGGCCGATGCCAAGTTGTCGATGTAGTTGTAGGGTGGCTCAAAACCTGGCACGAAATCGTCTATAGGCAGAAAAGGAAGTCCGCGCATGCGCGGGTACTGCTCATTGAGGAGGAAGCGGTAGTTGACAAAGTCATCCCGTATCAACTGAGCCCTCAGCTTATCCATCAACACCTGTTTCAGAATCGATGCAATCTTTAACCGGTCCCACTCCACGGTAAACTCCCCCTCACCAGGAACGGCCATGATCGATGCCGGGGACATCACCAAATGCTTCTCGCTTTTAACCACAATCACGCTTGCAGCTCCCGCGACGGGAGCAGTGATTTCCTTGACCGTTTGCTCCACGATGCACCAGCCGCGAGTGGCCCAGGTGAAGTGGCTGTAAAGCTCGGCGCAGGAGCCCTCAACTGCTGGGCAGAGCACTACAAAGAAGGCGCAGCGGGCAACATAAGCAGGAATGCTGTCGATGGCCTCGAAGGGGTTTCCTAGAGTTCGTCTCAAAACATCCCCACCAAGAAAAACTTCAAGTCGACCCCAAATTAATAAGCTGTTGTAATAAGGGTTGTCCTCCTTTTTGGTGGAGATTCATGACTTTGGAGGAACCCCCCCACCCCCACCCCCTATGAATAGGACGGGTTCTGGTCAACATTACAGCGCGCCTTCTGAAGATTCCCATTCTCCGCCTCCCCGTAGATTGACTTGACCTCCAGCTGCGGACAGCAGAAGTAGTCGTACCAAACCAACAAAGGCCTCAAGGTGTTTCGCCCAGGTTTGAAGATGCTTACACCAAGACTGTTTGTGGCTCAGGGAGTTGGGGTCTGATCCCTTGAACACATTAATACTGTTTGAACCACCTCCTTTTGGTTCCCTTGGAAGTGGCTCGGGGGGTCGGGGTCTGATCCCTACATTCCGCGCACTCCAGCCTGACTCGGAAGTCTTTGGCAGACATTCCACGAGAGAGTCCATAGACCGCCTCCGCCACCACATCCACGGAGACATAGCCCCCGCCACTCGTCACGTATTTCATGGCGTCTTGCAAAACCCGCAGCTGATGGAAGGAGGGATCCGGGTGATCCTTGCCCACCCACTGGTGAGACACAAACCTTGCTGGCGATTGCGCCCAAACTACAACACGGGCATGTTGTTTTTGCTGGTTGGCGGGGAAACTCCGGAGGAAATAAAAAAAAGAAGAAAAAAAGTTGGAGATCCGATTCGCAGGCCAAGAATCATCGCGTTTCCCATGGAAGGGTCGAAGATGGTGATGATCTCAAGTTCCAGCAGCTCCTCGTGCGGTCTCGCCTCCGTCAGGATCATCAGCTCCTCCATGGGCAGAGCATACCTCAGAAGCTCAGCGGCCCCTGGCGCAGGAAAAACAACTCACGCGCGCGCATCGACACACACCACATGATTTGTTCTTGGTTGACTTAGGGAGCACCAACGAGAGCTCCTTTGGGAGTCAAGATCAGCTTGGAGATCGAAGGATTGAAAGAAAGGAAGAAGAAAGAACGGCACAATCCACCAGTGGCAACTGGGACACATCGGGAAGCTCAGCCTCGGAGCCTCCTTGCTCCGCTGTGCGCCGTCCAGTCCCCGCAGCTGCTTGGCATAGGCCGCCAAGGGCTGAGCGTGCCCAGCCGCGCAAAAGGCCATGGAGGGTTCGGGACAATGAGCTGGAGGGCTCGGGACTACGAGGAACCCTTGGCAGGACTCCTTACACTATACACCTCATTGCCTTGTCAATGGTGGGTTCCCTTTATTCTGGTGGAAAAAGCTATGTTTCAAACGGGCAAAATGTATCTTTTAAGGAGCCCTGCCCTATGAGGAACCCTTGGCGCTCCTGGAAAATTGGGGGCCGTTCGAGCCCAGCATGTCTGGACTCGCGCACTGTCACGCAGGGTGGCGAGGATTCCACTCCCACGCCACGGGCCATGGTATCCAATCGAAGCCCGTCCCACAAAGCGGTCCATGGGGCCTGGGTCGGGAATCAAATTGGGGCCTTCGGGAAGGAACCCTTACCCTTTTTCAACACCCCCAAAACCAGTGGGAAACAACGGCTTTTCTCTCCCATGTCAAATCAACGGAAAACTCTCCAGCGCACAGAAATAATGCTCGATGCATTCTGTGAGTTGTGATTGCCTTTGAAACTTTGACGGACATCGGACATACATTATGGGGGTCTGTCCTTTCACAACCATTTCAGACGATTTTCCCACCATTTCAGACGTGAATCGTGGCATGGGCCCTCCGTCCACTTGCGGGCGCCTTCTGTCTTTGGTGTTGGTTCGAAACATACAATCCCCTGAGGCTTCAAAGCCGGCGATCCCTCCCGCACACAGACACGCACACACTTGATATGAGACGGCGAAACTAACAATGTGCACCCCCATGCAGGCAGGCTGTTTGAAGGTCTCCGGCAGGGCAATGGAGTTTCCGGCTTCACACATGCCTGAACATTGTTCGCCGAGATTGGCCCTCCTCTTCAGGGACGCCAACGGCCAATCTGGCTACTGCATGTCAGGACATGAATGAAGGTGGCGTCCGACTCCAAAAGAGAGAGAGAGAGAGAGAACACCGCGGAAACCCCTTAGGAACAGGGGGGCCACACACACACACCCCCCG